CCACAGTCTTCTTGTCATGGTCAGGGGAAACATCCTGCAAGCATGCAAGTGGCAATTCATGAATATTCATAGTTGGACTTCTTCATAGGTGGTGAGCGCCCATGTTTAACACAATCCAATATATGGATGATTTCTTGTTATGCAATTTGTGTTCAAGTTGTTTTTTAAAGTTTTATTGCTTAAGGATGTCTCCTCTGGGATCAGTGATGGAATATCCAGGGCAGTTAAAGTATCTCGCCCGGTGCTTTTTGTGTGTTTCTGGAATTGATATCAAACTAATATCCATTCTTTTTTTAATGTAGGATTGTCCCCACCTAGCCAACATAGACTGTAGAGGGGCACAGTAAGTAGGTGATGGCATGTATGGCATTGGCAGAGGAACAGGTGCATGAACTCTGGATGTTATAATTCATGTTGTTTGGTCTAATAACAATGTGGTGTATGTTGATGAGGGAGCACAGCTGGTATCTGGGTCTGTAGCAAGACCAGGTGGCTTGGTGAGATTTGGAGTTGTGTATTTGCTGCTGGAGAGGGGATGTTTGAGGACAGGGGCCACAAAAGTTCAATTATCAAACCTAATCCCTTTCTTTACAGATCCAAACACTTCTTAAACTCATTTGAGTTAACACTTAATACTTCCCTGTTTCTCAGTAAACCTTCCAGTTTAAAGGGATTTTTCTCCCCACTAAAGGGATTGCTTCTCATTATTATCTAATTAACATACCGTGAAGCAGCTGAATAACATCTATTTCAATGAAGTGCTATGGCCTCTTTATAAAAAAGGTAATCAATGACCTTTTTTCTCATGCTGTTTGGTGAAAATGTTTTTATAAACCCGTTCCTTCAGGAACATAGAATATACCTTTTGAATGTGTCATTAACATGTAGGATGTGGGAAGATGTTATTGCCATTGTGAAATATTTTTGTTTACTCTTGTGTATCGGAGCAGTTTGCTCCTTCTTCACTGGGGAGCCCTTAGGGTACCTGAATTACATGTAGAATACCATGGTGCCTTTTTGATTAATACACAGGTCTGCCTACAGAAGCATTGTTGGCTATCTTGGAGCTTGTCTGAACAGAGGTATACTAGTTTATCGAAATGTTTATTGAAGCATTGTTTTTATCTGCTACAGGAATAAACATGCACACAAACTGATATGCTCTGTGTGGATACTCCTATACAGGCTTAAACCCAGCTAATCAATTAGATAAACCAATACTCCAGGGGTAAATGGGGTGTTTAGATCCCTCTGAATGAAAAAGATATGCTTGAGGCACAAAATAGAGCAAATAGCACCATGACAGCTGTGCACAAACAAGAAGGCTGTGCACTTGAAAGCCTGATGAATGAACAGATGGTCTCAATAGTGTAACAATGTAAGTAAACTATCTCAAAGTAGGAGCAGATCATAAAGCAATATTAAAATTCAGCCTGACCCAGCAGCCATTGACAAGTAAGCAGACTGTACTCGGCTGTCACCAATCTGAGCATTCATATAGGGCAGGGGTCAGCAACCCCCGGCACATGTGCCGAGCATGGCACGCAAGGCCATTTTGCTCAGCACACCACTGCCAGCCTGGGCTCTAAGCAGCTGCTGCCAGCCACAGAGCCCAGGCTGCTCCTAGCAGGTGGCTGGGAGGCTGCAAGCCCTGCTGCAAGCATACCAGGCTCCTTGGGCTGGCTGTAGCAGGGAGGCTGCAAACAACTGCTCCAGCCTCCGGCATGTTGGCAGTCTGGCACCTTCCAAGGTAGACATTGTGTTTTTTGTGACACTCCAGCCAAAAAACGTTGCCTAACCCTGATATAGGGCAAAAGTTTTCCATGAACTATGCCAGCAAGATGGGGGGCTGCTAGTCCATTGCCCTTTAGTGGCCTGGCCTCCCCCATGTAAAGGCGGGTGCATAGAAGCTTCTGATTTAGATGTCTGTGGGCCAGTGACAAAATCGTCAATTGCTGAGAAACTTTTCTGAGAAGGATTTAATACCATTTTCACACTGCCACCTCTCCTTAACTTGCCAAATGCCAACTAGCACCAGATCGTGACAACGTGTATGGCTTCATACTGCCAAGTGAGTCATTCCCTGAAAACTTTTCCCCAGGTGAATAAGCAATTGCAAAGCAAGCTGTGACAGGGCTAGTGTCAAGGAGATAGGTGCTTTATTATGTAGCACTTTGGACCTACATTGTCTGCTCTTGCCTAATATGCCAAGCTACTAGAAAAATTAAAATATTCTGGCAGTGACCAAAGGAGGCTTGCTCCTGGTTCTGGATGAAGGTGGGGATGTAGGATATAGCAGACTGGTGTTGGGAGAGAACTCTTTTTCTGGAGCTGTGCAATGACCAGCAGTAATGGGAGATCTTCAAGATGAAGAAAACCCCTTTTCTGGAAATCTGTGCAGGCAGCCTGCAGTGAATGTGAATTCCAAGATCTAAAGGAAATAGGTTAAACCTATGGTATAATAAAGCAAGCCTCCTGATAAAATCTCTTCCACTTGGCATGGAATGGGAAAAGACTTGAAATCATGCAAAGATGCATGAAAAAAAATTCCAAAGAATCAAAAATGCTCTTGGAGTAAGTGGTTGCTGGGGACTGCTTGTATCTGAGCTATGCTTAAGAAGTATTTCATTTTAGTGTTCTGCTGCTTAACAAAACTTTCCACCTCATGAAGAATTTCTGCTGGTAGTAAGTATAGCTGCTTCACAACCGTAGTTAAATTTCTAGTAGTTTTTCAAGTGTCTAAAAATATGAAGAAGCACCTAGGGCTAGATCTAGTAAAGGATTTAGGCTCTTGGTTCTGGATTCTGCTCTAGGCCCTGGTGTTAAGTTCCCTATACCTCCTCTACAGAGCACAAGGAAAGTGTGAGAACCACAGCACTGGCAGATTTCATAGGCATTAGGGCTGGAAGGGACCTCATAAGGTCATCAGGCCCAGCCCCCTGCCCAAGGGGCAGGAAGTCAGCTAGGGTCAAAGGATCCCAGCAAGACAAGCATCCAAATGTTTCTTAAAAGTGTCCAGAGTAGGTGCTTGCACCACCCCGGGGCGGGGGGGGGAGTCTATTCCAGGCCTTAGGGGCTCATACAGTAAAGAACTTTGTCCTTATGTCCAGCCTAAAACGGTCTTGCAGGAGTTTGTGACCATTGGACCTTGTCATCCCTTGGGGCACTCTGCTAAACAGGCATTCCCACAGATCCTGATCCACACCCCTAATGTACTTATAGGCTACCACCAAGTCACCCCTGAGCCTGTGCTTCTCCAGGTTGAAGAGTCCCATGGCGCTTAGTCTCTCTTCATAAGGCTTGCTCTCTTGTCCTCTGATCATGCACATGGCTCTCCTCTGGACTCTCTCAGACTTTTCCATGTCCTTCCTGAATTGTGGAGCCCAACCTTTCAACCTTCTTAGACTCAGCACAACCCTTGGGAAATGCTAGCTCTTGGCTTTCACTTGTTTGACTGCAAAACAAAAAGTACTAGAGCCATGAACAGCATGTGCCCCCAGCAGCTGGGGGGGGCACAGCGGCGGCAGGAGTGGCGAGAGCCAGCGGCAGCAAGTGGGGGAGTTCCCACAGACTCCACCAGCACTGTTGGTGGCAAGCGGGGATGGTGAGTACCGACCAAGGGTTGGAGACCACCTGCAGCTGCTGTCAACATCGGCAGCCAGCCGGAATCGCAGACTGCCTGCATATGCCATTGGTGGTGGCAGCAGTGGGGTGGCAAGCGGCGACTGCCCACAGGTGCCGCTGAGTGTCAGTGGTGCCTTTTTGCAGGGGGTGCACTGCATTGCCCTTGACTAGAACAATTTTTTTACTGCAAGGAACACAGAAAGACCATAAAACCTGTCATTTGCTGGATCAGACCATAGGTCTGTCCTGCTAGGTTTCTGCAGAGGGGTGGCATCACATAAGAGTGAAATCATGTCTGGCTGTGGCAAGCAGGGAGGCATGGGCCACAAGCATAGGTCTTCCCAGGCAGGGCTGCAGTTCCCTGTAGGCCATGTGTGCTGTATGCTTTACATGGAAACCCTGATGGCTGAAGTCCTGGAATTGGCTGGGAATGCTGCACGGGATGAGAAAACTTGCATTATTTGCACCACCTCTAGCTGGCGATCCACAATGACAAGGAGCTAAACAAGCCCCGGGGGGGGAGGTCACACTGCTCAAAGCAGGGTCCCACCCAACATCTAGTTGGTTCTGCTGTCTAAGAAAAAGGAGAGCAATAAAGCTAAGGGCAAGTGAAGCCCGTGCAGATTCAGACCTAGACTTGGACACATTCATAACATAACCCCCACACCTCCCCTCATGTCACAGAGGCGCAGAAAGTATATGCTGAAAGGGAGGGCAAACTGAGCATGAGCAGGCATTCCCCACCTTGCAGTCTCCAGCATTTAAGGTCTAGACCAGGCAATCGGAGCAAGGCACATGAAGTCATTTTGCTTGGCAGTCACACCTCTGGGAAGGGGCCAGGCCTGCACTGCCACAAGGATCAGGCCCCTTGCAGCTCCCCCACCTTCTGCCCTGGGGATGCCAACACCTTTCAAGCTGAGGTTGTGGGCATTTTTGCCACTGTGCCCAAAAACATTGCCGACCCCTCGTCTAGGCAGTTCTGATTCAGAGGCTGGACCCCTAACTCTCTCACGCAATAGCTACCAGTACCCCTTTCCTTCGCAGCAGGCCAGGGTGTTTTTGACACCATGGGTGCCTATTTGAAATCTCCGGGTCACTCTAATGAAACGTGCAGTGCTGCTACTATACGGCCCCTGGCTGAGAGTCACTGTGCCAAGGAGGGCAACACCACCTGTCTGCCGGTCCTGCCTGCTGCACCTGGGGCCGAAGCGTCACATCCTCTCAAGACGCTTTAGTTGCAGGGACACAACTCGGGGTGGCCGGGTACAGGTGTTGGGCTGCAACTCCTCCAGTGACCTAGGGTAGGCCCTGGTGCCTCTCCCTGGGGTGTCTTTAATTTTCCCTGCGCCTGAAGAAGGTCTTACGTGCCCGAAAGCATGCCGAAAAATACAACGTGTTTGCATCTCTCCCGGAGGATTCAGCCCCCAATTCCTTTCCCAGCAACTGCCCTAAGCACCGCTCGGGGGTGGAGGGGAGGCACTTCTAAACCCCATGTGTGGGGCGGGGTGGGGCGGAGCAGGGCAGAGGCAGGTGCCCGGGTCCCAGAAGGGCCCGTAGCTGTGCCTGAGCCTGGGCGCGGGGCCTTGGAGGCAGCAGGTGCCCGCGGGCACCGCCGCCAGCGCTAGACAAAATGGCGGTCAGGGCCGTGCGGGCGGTCGGACGGGAGCCGGAAAAGGGGTGGAGCGAGGCGATCACGGGCCCCTTACGCCGCGCTGTGCCGGGGCACTGGGCCGACAACCCCCTCCCCCACCGCCCCGCGGGGCTCGCAAGGCCACTCTGCTGGGCCGCGCCTGTCACTTTAAGTGTGGGCGTGGCTTCCATTGAGACCCGGCCGCGCGAGCCACCCGCCCCACCTCTCGTTCAGCCCCGCCCGGCGGCTGGGCTCCGATTGGCTCCTGGCCCGCAGAGACGCCCCGCCCCCCTCAGCGGCGATTGGCGGGCGGTGGGATCCGGGTGCCCGGATGTGGGCACGTTCGGTGGTTATAAAGCGCCGAGGGAAGGCGGGAGCCGGTGCAGTTTGAATCGCGGCGGGTACGGGTGTGTGGTGCTGTTAGGGCCTCGTTGTGTGTGAGAGTCGCTTGCTGCTTCCTCCCTCTCCTGTGCGGTGCTACAGCGCCGCTCACGATGGTAGGAGACCACGGAGATGGGGGACGGTTGGGGGCGGGGGTTGCTCAGCCGCGCTGCAGTGGTGGGGAGGAGGAGGCGGCGGCTGCGTGGGGGGAAGGGGCGCAACGGTTGGAAAGCTGGCACGCGTTGGGGCGCGCTCGTGTCCCGTAGACTGCTGGGCTGGGGGGGAGGGGGCGCGCATGCGCAGCGGGCTGCCGGGAGCGGGAGCACTCAGCGCCTGCGCTTAGCGAGAGACTTGGGCTGCTGGGCGTGGGGGCAAGAGCGCATGCGCGGTGCCCTGGCTCGGTGGGAAGCGCATGCGCGGGGCGGCTGGGCGGCTATTGCCTGAGACCTGAGTGGCTGTTGCTTCCAGGTGAGCTTACAGGAGGGAGGAGCTGGCTCCAGTGGTGTAGGGATCCGCTTCTGACCACCACCTTTCTCCCTCTTTTTTGTAGGCTGGCGGTAAAGCTGGGAAGGACTCTGGGAAGACCAAGACCAAGGCAGTGTCTCGCTCGCAGAGAGCTGGACTGCAGGTGAGTCTGCAGGGCGTCATCCCACTTACTTGCCCTCCAAGACTTTTTGCCTTTTGGGAGTTTTTCTGTTTGCTTCTTGTCTGCTGTGGGACAGTCTGCTTCAGGAGCAGCAGGCTCCCATATCGGAACAGCTGCAGTTCAAGTCCACTGATTGTCATGATTTTTAAAAAGCTAGTCTTTGTTTGGAGGTTGCTGTTTTCAGTGCCTAGGTTTTGCATTACTTGAAGAGGTTTTTTTTCAGTACAGTTAAGGAGTAACAGCTTGGAATGGGAATGAACAGCTTGAACCATGGTGGTGCTGCTACTATATGATGGGGATCTTCAACCAAAGTGCTATGAGATGCTTCCAAAGGGGCTGTGGTGCCCACCTGTGCCAAAAGATGAGCAATTGCTCCTTCTCCTTGCTGGGGTTGGGTACTCTTAAAATCTGTCAAGCAGCACTTGTAGCTAGTCCCCACACCTGGCAGCTTTTGCACTGGCCACCCTGCTCCTAAGTGTGCTCCTCTGTGTATCCATGTAAAGTACATGCGCTGATGGCCAGGTATAGGTGGGGGTCTACAACTTAAATCCTGACTTATCCCCTGTCCCTTCTTCCCCCCTCTCCCATGTGCCTGGAGTAGTGAGAGGCTGTAGGTGCATGTGGTTTCAGTTGCTGGCACTGGAAGCCTAGTACTTACCCCTTCATGCACAGATCAATGGCTGGGAGGGGGCAGATGCTGGAAAAAGGGTACAGTGGGGTGAGGTCTTGCCTCGCCACTCTTACCTGGCATAAGTTGGTTTCTAATTCAGTTCTCAGCCAGGGTGCTTCTAAACTCTGAAAAATTAAGAAGGGCTGTCTTTAGGCTAAAAGCTGAGTTGCTGTCTTATGGGATAAGGAATCATGCTTTGTTGCATCAAATAACAAATGGGCCTTCCTGTGATTATTTTATGGTAGTTGTTGGCAGGGTTTCAGTCTTTCATTCGCCAAACCTTTTATGGTGTTTACACCGTGTTCTTCCTGTTCTTAATGTCTTGCAGTTCCCGGTTGGCCGCATTCACCGTCATCTGAAGTCCAGGACCACCAGCCACGGACGTGTAGGAGCTACTGCTGCTGTGTACAGTGCTGCTATCTTGGAATACCTGACAGCTGAGGTAAGCTTACTGTGGGAGAGATTGGGAAAGGCAGTTAATGTTCTTAAAATGGGTAGATTGACTTAAGTCTGTTTAAATTGCTGTAAATCAGTAGTCCAAACTTAAATAATTTTATCAAGTTTCCCATTGTATTCTTGTTTCCTTTTTTACAGAAAGGTTATATCATCATTGGTTGATCTAATAGAACTTATTGTTCTACTGTAAAAACTGCGTTAAGTTGCAAGCTTGGTACATGTTTTCTAGGTACACAAGCTATCTCTCTCTATCTTCATAGCTTGTGTACCTAGAAACACATGTCCCAAACTTACAGTTAACTGCAGTCTTTACAGGAGGTCAGTGTGTGTGGGGGTTTTTTATTCTATCAACCAATGATAGATATACATTTAAGAACTTATTGTTTAACTTACAGCATTGCTAACAACCTGAATGTACTATTTTAGTGTACTAAACATGGTGAAATGTGTGTTTGCTCAGTAGATTTAGCTTCTTGCTTTTTTTTTTTTATCAGGATGGTGACTTGCTTTTAAACACACAACCAACACCAAATTAAACAACTTTAATGTTTTGGATATGGAAACTATTATCAAAACTTGATTAACACTTGGATAACAGTCAATACTAGTGTTTAAAAAATTAGTTATAAGTATGGCATGAACTGTGATTTTAGTGAATTAACCCAATTATTTTGGATCACCCTGGGGAAAACTTTCTAAAATGTCTGTCCTTGAAATCAAAACTAATCTACCACTTTATACACTTGAGCCTAGTGTTGGTCCTCTGTACACACTCCTCCTTATTCCTCCCTGTTCCTTCTTCACACAGGAGATTAACACCAAACCAGTGCTTCTCCCTGTGATGTAATCTACCATATCCTCTGTAGCTTTTTCATCATCCCAACAAGCCATGCTTTCTGCTGTTACAGCACATAGGGCTAGGGAGCCACAATATTTTAGTTTAGAGACATGAATAGCATGAACTTCAAGTGTGTTTGCATCTTTACATATCCAAAGGAAGCAAGAAGGGCCATTTAACTGAAGTACCCAAACCCTTAAGAAGCCCTAGGGGGTTGGTAGTTACTGAGCAGATGGGTGCTATGCCATGAGCTGGAAAATAAGCCTCCATTATGGGTACAGTCATCAATATTCATAAACTGAGAATTGAGCCAATTGGATCAGGTAAAAGAGACAGATGAGCAGGAGTTTTGATGCCTTCCAGGTGGTCCTGGTAAATGATTCTGATCAGGGAGTACACATCATGGTGCCTGTGGAAGAAGAGGCCAGGCTCCAACACTTGTGATTACTTTGCTGATGTTTTGTATCCAGCACTATAGAACCTTGCAGGGCCAAACCCCTAATACAGGAACTATTGTGCTGTATTTCTTTTAAAGCTTGACCTCAAAAGTTAGATGGCTTCCTTCCCTCAGCCCTTTAAACCTTTGAAGAAAATCAACCTTTAAGTCCAGAGGGTTTTTTATTGACTCAAAATATTTTATTTAAATTATTTTTATATCTTGTACCTTAGTCTATACTGTATTAAAATTAGGGTTCATTTTAAGCTGGCTTACTTTTTTAAAAGGAAAACTTAGTTAATTTAAATCCAACTTTTTTGCTTAAATGGGGCAAATAAAAGCTGCATAATCATTGCCACTTGTATTCTGAGGTTTTAGGATAACATTTCCTGCTGTAATCAGAACTTGCTTTCATCTAAAAATACTTCAGTGAACTATTTTAGTGAGTCTTGAGGATCAGCAGGAAGGGAGTTAAGTTGGTATTTTGATGGAGGCCATGGTGTGTGAGTGAAGGATGTTGCATAATACAGTCGATGTCAAATTGGAATTGTGCAAAACTTGGGCTATCTGTGCTGTGGCATAGAGCTCTGTTAACCTTTTTAAGGAGCCCTATCCTGGGAGTCCTACTATTAAGAGTACCTATCTGTAGGAGAAGTAACTAAAGCTATAAACAAGACATGATATTTCTTGTGGGACTGGTTGTGCCCCATCTTCTCAAATGGAGAAGTTGTGGGTTTGACATCTCTACACATCTCCCTTCAAAGTGGCTGATTGCACTGCTGCTTTTCCACCGGTAGGTGGCTGGAGAGAGCACACATTGCAGCATGCCTGGTGCTGGTCAAGTTCCATAGGATTCCTTGACTGCAAGTGCTCACAGAGCACCTGCTTTTACATTTTGGGTAGGTGGGGACATTTTTGTAGGACTGATTTTGGTGTTGGTCACTGTGTAGCTTGTGCCTTTGAACATCTGCCCTTATTTCTGGTGCACTGGTGTGGCCATCATGGCTCATAAGCCAGAGCTTTCACCAGCAACACCTGCTATGGATCTGTATATAGTCATAGCCTTGCTGGCCCAGTGTCATTTAACTTGTGGGCCTCAATGGCTGCTGTTACTACCTTAATTTGCCCTTGAGAACAAAGGTTGGGGGAGAAGCTCACGTGTACTTGCTGCCAAACAGTGGGTGGGGCTGTGTCTTGTACATCTGGCTTGTACTGGGCAGCAGTAGATACCAGTCCCCTAAAGCTGTTTTGGCTGCAGCTTGGCATCTGGCTGAGTAGATGGGGCATCGACTCCAAGTAAAGCAGTGTTTCTGGGCCAAGGAGATAAGCAGCAACTGGTAGGAGCAGATTGTTTTGGCCACCTTAGATGATAGGCAATGGTGCATACCCCTGGACATGCAGAAATATACCTTCATGGAGATTTGTGCCAAAATTGCCTTGCACATACAGCCATGGTCAGTGATGATGAGTTTGCTCTTACCTGGAGACCAGTGGTCTCCAAAGTGGGGTGTGCAAGATGATCCAGTGGGGTGCGGGAAGAAAATATTAGAATTCTATTTATATATTTTTATCTAAAAAAAAAAAAGAGAAATTAAGCTTTACTAATATTTAATATATGGATTGACACTGGTGCCCTCACTCTTTCTGACAGTCAGTCATGTGTCACGTACGATAAGCAAGGTATCCTGAGGAAAGAGCGCGAGTTCCACTACACAGAGGTACAGTGTACAGTAGTCTCCAAACTTTGTACAATGTTACACTGAGTAGTACATGTGTATTTATTTATCAATTATATACATATATTGGGGTGCATGCTCAAACTTTTTATTGATGGGGTGTGCGATCAAAAAAGTTTGGAGACCACTGCTGTAGAGAACTGTATTCCTATAGTTATTCCTATCCCTATGGGGGGCTGGACTCGATCTTCCGAGGTCCCTTCCAGCCCTAACGTCTATGTCTATACAACCTTATGACCCCAGACAGCTGCTGATCTGTGGCAAACTGTTTTGCCATAGGCAAGTTGACTGCTAGAGAGGCTGTGCAAGAGGTATCTGAGAATATGGGTGATGGCCCTGTATACCATGTCTTGCCAACCCGCAGGAGGTTGTGGATGAGTTTACCAGCCTGTGGTTTCCCAGCTACGTTAGGGCTGTTGAGCGCACACATCTCTGTCCTTCCCCTTGTGGATTCTGGCTGTGAATTCACCAGTTGGAAGGGGTACTTTGCAATCATGATTTAGACAGTTGGGGACCACCATGGGCATTTGAGCTGTGTACATGCCAGTTGCACAGACGGTGTGCTTTGCTAGGATATGTAGGCATTCTCTTTTCCGCTTTGGGTCAGGGAGAGAGCTTGCCCCTAGCCTGCCTGGCCCCCAGGCTGAGGAGTGACTATCTTTGGTACTAATAAGAGACTCATCCTACCCTGCACCCCTGGCTAATGAAGCCTTTCACTAGGTGTCTGGATGCCTAGAAGGAACTGTTTGCTAGGTCAGCAGCTGTAAAATGTCTGTGGAGTGTGTGCTTTTAAACATCTCAAGCCTTTCTGGAGGTGCCTGAGGATGTATGGATATCAGTAAGTGCAACATACCCTAGTTCATGGTCCCTGCATGTTTATTGCAAATGCTGGAGGCCAAGAGTAGCACAGGAAATTCAAAAAAAATTAAATAAAGTCCTAGTGTCATGGTGAAAATTGATCTTGTTTGGGTTTTGGGGTTTTGTGTTTTTGTGTGGGGTTTTTTTTTCTTTTTTCTAAGCCTGACATCTAGTGGCATTTGTCAGTAGTCCTTTGTGAGGTCCATGGTTGTCAGATACTGGGCACCTCCAAGTTTGCTAATCTGGGTATGAGATGAGCATCTGGTACTAATGGCATTAAGCATGGGCTATTTTGTTGAATTGCCTCCTGCCCTGGTGCCAACATGTTCCTGATTCCCTTTTCCAGGTCCTACCTAGCCTATTTTCCCAGTGATTCTGAAAGGTGAACACCTGATAGATTTGTCCCCCGTTTCCACTTGGTGCATGACTAAGTGTGTACTAGCTTGCTGGGGAAATACATGTAGCTTTGCAGAAGCACTCTGATTTCTAACTCCTGGGCAGGAGGTCTTTTGTTAGAGTAGAATAGATTCCACCAGAGTTGTCTTCTGCTTCCACCATCAGATCTGAAAGAGGGTCTTCAATCCCTTCCCAATTCCCCCACAGTGGAAAAACAATCTTTCTGTCATAAGGTTTCATAACAATTACATGACTTGCTGTCTTATGGCAAGTGTGTTTTCTCCCCCTTTTTACATTATTCAGCTCTTTGACCTTCCCAGCCAGCTTGGACCTTTTTCTTCGCACAGAAAACTAAGTGACTGGTATTAATACCTGGTTTATTGGTGCCCAGCTTTCCACCTCCATGGGCCAGATGAGTGGCGTAAGGTTGGTCCAAGAGCTAGGTCACGTGGAGGTTTGGCACATGACATCAGTACATGGGTCTGTCCTGCACAACAACCTGGTTATGTACTTGAATACAGCTGTGTGCTAGCCCCAGGGTTCCTCAGGGGTCCAGAAACGCGGCACCAGAGGAGTGGCAATTAACACTGCCACACCTCCCTGCCACAATTTCTAGACCCCTGGGGAGTCCTGCAGGCTGGAAGTTGAGCAGCACTGTCCTATTCCATGTGACCTGTTGATCACATGGCAAGCATACTAAATCTCTTGTTTGTTCTGTGCTTTGGCTAGGCTTTCTTGGGCCAAATGCATGAGCTTGGTGGGTCTTTCATAAAATAAACACATACTTCCAATTTTCCCTCTGGAGGAATTTTTTTCCCCCTTATTTCTCTTTCATTAAGTCCAGGGGTCTCATTGGCCCCTGACTGCACAGCAGTTCAGAAAGGGAAAAGTCTGTAAATTTCTTCTAGCTTCCAAAGACATTCTCTGAGAAGGTAGGGAAAGCACTTATCTGTAGGTGTTGATTCATAAAGGTCTTCACCTCTTTTCAGAGTCCTCTTAAATCTCTCCATTGGATAACTCTTCCAATTCAGTGAGTTACCTGAGTGAATTAAGGTTTTGGGGTTTGTTTGTTTGGTTTTTTTGTGCCCACAGGTTCTTGAGCTGGCAGGAAATGCATCCAAAGACTTAAAAGTGAAGCGTATCACTCCCCGTCACTTGCAGCTTGCAATCAGAGGAGATGAAGAACTGGACTCTCTCATTAAGGCAACAATTGCTGGTGGTGGTATGTAATACTGTTGTCTTACTCATGTTAAAGTCTAACAGATCATGTTTCTAATATACAAATAAGGGGGGGGTGTACCCTTTTTCTGGATTTTACGACTGGGAAATTAACTTCTATTTAATTTCTTGCCGTGTGTATTTTAGGTGTAATACCACATATCCACAAATCGCTTATTGGAAAGAAAGGACAACAGAAAACTGTCTAAAGAATACCAGGATTCCTTGTTATCTCAGGACTCTTAAGTACTCGAACAATTGTCCAGTGTTGGTGATTCCAGTGGACTGTATCTGTGAAACACAATTTTGCCTTTTTGTAACTTGAGAAGCTAAAGCTCGCTGAGCTGTCTAACAAACCAAATTTCTGCATTGAAGTCTTAACCATATTTAAGTGTTACCATGGCTTCAAAGAAGCTATTGTATTTGTAGTGGGTTTTGATTGAGCTGACTGTTTTAGATCGGTTGATTTTTAATGTGAAGCAGAAGTTAAAGAAAATGTTTTGGTTTTGTACAGACTTTTCATCCACTAGAGTGGAAATGTTCAATAAATGTTATATCAGTAGTAGTAGTGGTCTGTCTCTTTCTTCAAATCTGCCTTTTTAACAAAAGGGTGTGATAGATTCCCTTCCCATAAAAGATCTAGCAGTGAGGTGGCACCCCTGATTAAAAGCTGCAGGCTTGAAAGTACCTTAAGTTGGAGAAAACTACTTTTTAATATCATTCTGCTCTTATTTACAACTTACTCTAATCTATAGCCATCTTGAAGCAAGATGGATAAAAGGTCAAAACTTCTTGAAGGGGTAATGATACTTGGGGGGGGGGGAACTAATTAACCCATCTGCAGTAGGGGTGGGATCATGTTCCCACAGGGGAGTGGAGAAACTATTCTAAAATGCATCCAAGCATTTTTTTCCTTCCTGTACCACAAAAACTAGCCTCCCACCACCCCATGTATATGCACATTCCTGGATTGCTGCAGTTAATTCATGTTTAATTTCTGACATGACAATTTTTATCAAATTTTACATTTTAAAGAGATACCAATGGACTGACAACTTTGGCATTCAGTAGATGAAGGCTGGATTATATCTGATGCTACCTCTCACTATAACATGTGTAAAATTTACTGGTCTTAAATGGCAATAGTGAAAAGCAGGTGTTTGAGTGCCTGATACTGATCTTAAGTGAGCCTGGGATCTAGGAATCTATGAAGCAGATGTCCATCTTCAACATACTTGAGTAAGGAGCTGAAATGTAACATCCACTGAACTAGCTGGTGGTCTGACAAATCTTGAAAATATTTAAATTCACCTTAATATATGGTTTGGTTTGGATGGATCTAAAACTTAGGGCTCTAGTCTATGGTAGGCAATTGTTTTTGTGTTTTTCCTTAGAGGTGGCATATATGCCACAAGTTGGAGGAGAGGTGGGAAGAAGAACATGGAGTTTCCACTGCTGCTTTCTAGTAAGCTGGGTTCTACCATGTTCATTTCTGACAGATGTACCTTTTGACTTCATAGTCCTGTATCTTTGTTTTATAGCTGCTTAAGTTTCTGTTCTTTTACACAAAGGTTTTGGAGTGAATGGGCAACTGCAGGCAGGAAGAGTAATGGAGCAGAGAGGGGTATAGTGGGGCAGGTAACTTAGTGGCCACAGAATTTTACCTTCACCAAGCTGATGTGCTGTTACACTTAATTCAGGTCACTGCTGGAGTTAGGATATGGTAACACTAATATTGCCAGGGGGCTCCTCTGCCTCCCCCGTGTCTTACTCAAAGTTTTGAGTAAGCAGCAATTGAAACTAGTAACAGCGGCACAGCTCAAGTCCCAGAAAGCTCCCGTGCCCCTTCCTATCCAGCTGTTGGGTAATTGAAGTCAAGTCGGGGGCTGCTTGGTGATGACGTGTCACCTGGGGCAGCCCTCTGCGTGGGGTGTGAGGGGGAGCGGCCGGCCAGGGCCCCCCTGCGGCCTCTGCGCAAAGGGGAACTGGCGCCTCCCGCTGAGGCCGAGCCTGGGGCAGGCGCGGGCCGTACGGAAGCCCCAGACCTCGGCCCCTGCGCCGCTGCTGCCCGGCCGCGGCGCATGCGCACGAGGCGCCGCTGTTGCTGCTGGGCCCGGAAGCCGCCTCCGGCCGGGAGGGAGACG